AACAGAAGTTAGACAGGGCATGGAAACCAATTATCTAAATTAAAAGTAGAGGATGGGACTGGATGGCTGAAGGATGCAGGAGGATGTGGTAATGATGTGCAGAGGTTTTTCTCTTTGGCTTCTGGTGGCAAGTGTGGGCAGAGTTGGTCACTGTTATGTCAGCCCACAGGCTTTTCAGCAAAAGGAGTTGCTGGTCTCAGTTTTCCTTTCTAAGGATATCAGTTCTTTCAACAAAAAGACCTCATTGAGGTTTGGTTTTAAAAGCTAGGTGTTTCTTTTAAATCCTAAGAGTCTTTTGGAGCCTTTCCTCTAGGAATGATGCTCTCTGAAGGGAGGAAGGGCTGGGAAGAAGGGTGTGAGGGTGCTTTTCTCATGGAGACCAGCTCAACCAGTTGGCAAACTGGAGAGCCCTTCCTGAGGCAGATGGAGGTAACAGACAAAAGGCCTGATCCCTTATGTTGGCATCCTCTAGGATGACAGTATCTGACCCTGTCAGAGCACCTGGGGAGGAATTACTGGGGCAATGCCATAAGGGTGAAAAAAGAGTTGAATGATGGAAATAGCTGAAGTAACCTGACCTATTGCAGACTTCCCCATGGGCTTTATAAAGAAAGGCAGTAAGGCTCTGTGCATTGACGCTTTTTGGCTGTGGTTCTCCTTTCACTGAGGGTAGTTTTGTGCCAGGTTATCTCCATTGACTCTAATGGATTATCTCCAATTTGCAGTGCAGTTTAAATCATATGCAGGACTTCTTTTCTCCTCTTCTCAATTCATGGATCTCTTTCAGAACTTTCTGTACCAGATGTTACAATTGTAAACAAATCATCCTGGCAAACCAAAGTATCTTTTCCTGTCTGTGTCACAGTGCCTCTGGATCTTCTGCTCATAAAACATTAGTTATACAATGGGTTTTTTTTGGCAGATGGGTATCTTCCATGAAAAAGCCATTTCCATCCCAATACAACAGTGCTTTTATATGGACTGTTTCAGCCCGCATTGCGCAACCCTTTGGCACAATGATGCATTATGCTATTTTGCTTCTTGATATGCTGAATCATGGGATGACACTTTGCCAGCTTCTTTGTGTAACAACAATAACTTGCTCGTGTTTCAAAGATGGAGAAGGCTGCACAAATCACTACAGTGCAGGGAGCCTGAACATTTGGCCGAAGGAAGTTCTCAGCAGGCTCTAAACTCCTCCACATGGGTGGGGAAGTTACCTTTCAGCTCCTGCTCCCTTTAGATGGCTGTAGGAAATCACATATGGCTTCCACTTGTCTGTACAAAGCTGGAGAAGGCCCAGATTCGTGCCCCCTCTGAACTGATAGCAGTCAGCCACTCTGCGCTGTGGCCCCTTAACTGAAAGAACATAAATCAGTTCACCTCTCCATGGAACACCATCTGCGTTCAAAGCCTTGGTCATGCACAGACGTGGAACCGTGAAGAAGACTTTTTAGAAATACCCCCACAGACAGATCAGGTGGGATTTCCTAACATTGTCTCTAACACGTGGATGTGAGAAGGCAGCTAAATTAAACCCTCCCCTACTGCAGTGGCCACGACAGTATTCACTTGTCCACATGTTCTTCAATGCCTCCTGAGTACATTGGGTGCTGTGTTACGGTATAGCTGTTCATGTTCAATATCTCAGGGGTCTGGTGATGATTTCTAACTTGTATTTTAAACATTGTTTTACTGTATGTCAGTCATGCACAGGCTCCTTGTGGAACAAGGGATGCTTTCTCTTGGCCATTCTGGAGTTCTGATTTGTATTTAGGAGTTTCTAACTGTAATGATTTATCTGATCACAGGGAATTCAGAAGCAACTGAATGTATTCACAGCTGTTCTGGGGAAAAAGACAAGATTTGGTCTGAAAGGAACACATTACACTGCTTGAAAACGGGGTTTTAAAGGAAAGACACTTGTATTTTTAAAATACATTTGTATCTGAATACTGGATTGTATTCTCAGCACGTTTCAGTTTGTAGCACAGCACAGGACAGCACCTTATGCACTTTGGACAAGTATTTGAAAAGCCAGCGGTTTGCCTCTGAAGATACACACTCTGAATCCCACTGGAAAGCTCTAAATTATGGAGGTGGTGTCTTGATAGACCTCAAGGGTGAATTTGCACCTCTGATTTTAAGTGTAATTGTTACAGCAATTTAATTTACAAAAGTATTCACTATTAACTGGGGCTTCTATAAGACAGGCAGCTTTAATGCCCTTTCTGCCCCCTGTGCCTGTTGCATGCTCGTATTCCATAAGAATCTGACCATGTGCAGTCAGGCTTTGATGTGAGATACAATAAATATCAGCTTTTAAAAAGCATCGTATACATATTTGTCTGACATGCATATGTACAGGGAAGGTTAGGGGGGTTACTCGTGTTTTTACGCTGGGTCATGCGCATGTGAAGCATTCTTCATACGGATGCTATATTTTCTAGAATATTTCTATTTCTTTAGTATTTGTAGTTCAGTGTTTCAGCCATTCCTAAGTTTTATGAGTGTTTTTTCCATTTATTTACATGTTTATTAGCTTAAGTCTTCATTCCTTGTGTGACACCTCCTTGTCTCCCCACCTTCTCCCATGCCCAAATCGTTTTGCAGGCTGCCCTGCCACAGAAGTGGGTCAGACAAGTTACAAGACCTGTAGATTGCTCGGATGGGGATCCACCTAGCAACACCACTGCACTAATGCTGGATTGGGAAATTTGCCCTACAGGAGTTTGTCTTGATTAAAGGCTTCAGCCTGTCTTTGCAACACAAACACAGGAGCCCCCATGCTGCTCTCTGAAATTTACAGCGTATTTTCTTTTTACTCAAGCATATTGAAGCAGAACAGAAGAAAGGATCAAAGGTACCGTAATGTTTCTATAAACAAGTACTACTTAGTTTGGTTTTTTTTATCTTGGGTTTATTTTTTTCCAAACAAATCTTCCAGGCACATTAGGCTCAGATTTCATTTTATTGCCAAATCACCAGCTGGCAACAAAATCACATATGTCTGTGTAAATAAAGTAGATGAGAAGCTGAACAGGAGATTGGGAGATGATTCAAGCAGTCATATTGGCTTCTACACCTTAAAATTATACTGCTTTAGCTGTCTATTCAGCAATGTCCTGTACAGGCCCCTTTTCAGCATGAAATACAGAATTACCCCAAGCCGAGATTTTAGCCTGTGGTTTTCCTCCCTTCGAGTGAATTTACAGGAAACAGATAATTCTTTGGGACCGTAACCCAAAAATTCATTTTTTGTCTGCTCATCAAGCGGTGACTCATCCACTCCCTGTTACTCAAATGTAGGTGTAACTCTTGTGATGACTGATATTATTATGAAGCATTTTCACTTTGAGGGCCGGATGATCCTTCCTTTGAAGGTAGTGCAATTTTGGAATTGGCCTGAGGGCTCTATTACTGCCTTCTTGGTATGTTTGGATTCACTTGGCAATGAAACCTCAAAATTGATTAATTTACCTTTAAGGTCAATGTAGCTGTACAGGTCTCTGCCATTTTAGGTAGTCAGTGGAATGGTCATCTCCATTTGAAACCTTCCATTGAGTTTCTTCATGCCACCCGGTAATTCCCATGGAGAAAAGCTTGATCGTTACTGTTAGGCAAACATATAAAAAAGTTAGTAGCTGTCATCCTGCTTCTAAAAGCAGATGAACTAGAGCATGTTTTCAGGCCTGGGTGATAATGGGATGCATTTTTCCCATGTACTTGTGAAAAATAGGTTCCTTTTAGCTACAATGGTGCTCTTTTTGTGTTCCTGATGAAAGAATATTGGAGTTTTGAATAACTACTAAAGAATTAGGATATTTGCTCATATTGAGCTATCCAAATCTCTCTCATCCAGAGATATTCCTTGGCAGAGCTGGGTAATAGGATTCCCTTTGTGAGGGCAGAAATGCTGTACCAACTGTGAAGGATCTATCTGCAGAGCAGTTTTGCCCTCAGTCAGTAAGCTCTAGAAGAGCTTAATTAATGAGTGGGGAAAGAGCTCCAGTGTCTGGGAGGTGGAGGACAGAAATAAAGGTGGTTAAACAGTAGATAGGTTTTGTTTCATGCTAAGGCTTTTTAATCCTTGCCTTTTCCCTAACGTGCTCCTTTTAGGAGGCTTCGATCCCAACTGACTTCTTGAAGGTTTTGTCCCTGCTGCAAGTTCTGCTTTTTCTGTCAAAGGCTCCAATTTTGCTCTTTCTTCCTAATGTTTCCCTTTATGCAACCTAATTTCTATTCCCTAATACAACCTGGGATGTAATGAGGCGGAGAGGGGCTTCAGTTTGGGAAATACCAGTGCATGCTCACTAGCTGACTTTGTTCCCAAATTGGACAGAATAGAGAATACTTCCTGCCCCACTCAAATCATCTGCATAGAAAGATAAAATGGGAGTTAACAAGGGTCAGGTTTATGACAGGGAAAGAAGACTGCTAATGACCATTATCTATGCCACAGGTTTAACTTCATTACTTTTGCATTAAGTTCTTAATGCCCAAAGCAATAAGCAAACTGAGTCCTGTTGAACTGTAGTAACCTAATCTTCTCTCCAAACGAAATGGAGGGGAAGGCAGAGTCATTTGACATGGCCTTTATTTCATCTTCTCTTTCCCCATCCCCCATGCACTCACATGTTATAAGCTTGCCATTCCTTCTCACAGCCTGTTTCTTTTTTCTCTCTTCTTCCTTCCTGAGTTTTTGTAGCTCTCCAAAGTGGTAGTTGGTGCCAGATTTACTCTGCTGAGAGAGTTAGGCCTTCTGTAATAGTGGCTTCAGGGTTTGTCACATGGAGAAGTCTACACTGATAATCTTTATAGAATTACACAAACTGTGTTCAAAATCAAAAGCATTTAATTCCAGAGGTAAGACATGGGCTTACCAACCACAATGGGCTGGCCATTCCATTGTGGTTCCCAGTAATTCACATCTAGGAGAGTGCATTTGATGGGTGTTTTGAAGTGTCATCACTGTTTTCCGAGGAGAGTTGAAGGTCTTGCATGCTTACATCAGAATATGACTTGTGGGCATATACCAGCCTTGACTCCAACCATTAGTTCATCCTCTGTTCTTTCTCCAGTTATGACCCCTGCTGGCATTTATGGCTCTGAACTTGCCCCGCCAGCTGTGTGAACAGTTTAAGTTTAGTGAGCAATAAACAAACAGCAACAGAGAATTAAATGTAACTTGTGATTTAGAATGAGATCAACATTTCTGTTGTTTCAGCTCTTTTTTCTTCTCACCCTCAACTTTGTCAACTAAAAAATAATGAATTACCCTCTTCTGGGGTGATTTGCAGACTTTTGCTCTGAAGCTGGGAAAGGAAATGACATTGAGTAAGAAGAGCGAGCACAAATGGATTTCCTAATACGTGCAAGTCCCAGACCAACAGCCTCAGCTTTTGGCAAAGGACGAAATCAACGGTGCATCTTTTTTGGGTTCCCCAACAGTATGAGAGGGAAAGAAGCAGTGCTGGCAGGTAACTGGTGAATCTGTCCCATATGTAAGAAACACATTACTGCTTCTAGAAGGATACCAAAGTGATAGGCGCCTGAGAAACATGATAGATTAGGTAGATAGAAGAAAATAATATAAACTATGGAGAGCTAAGCAATGAATGTGAAAACCTATGAAAAATCCCTATCAGCAATGCAATGTAATACATTACCATAATCCAATATTATATGGTAACCTCCATATGAGAACCTTGCACTCTGAGTAATAAGTGCCGAAGGCTGAACATTTATCTTCTGACCTGTTCCCTGTTCAGAGTGATCAGGGTTACCAGATATTTGGGACTCTGAGAAAATTGTCCCTTTGTAATAATGTTTCCCTGCCATACAGCACAAAGGGGTTTCATTTCCTTGCCCCTTTCTGCCTTGGAAAGGACATATCAATGTTCTGTTTTTCTGTAGCCATGAAACTGCCTACAGTAAGGTCTGAGTACTACAGGAGGTCTTGATGTGTCAGTCTCACAGCCATCATGTTTCAAGAAGCAGTATCTCCTCTCTACAGACCTGTCTGCCTCCTGACTGCTTGGCTTGACTCTATGACTACTTTGTTGGTTTGTACTCGTGCCAGAGTCTCCTTCAAATTGCTCATCACTGCTCCCAAATGAGCTGCTGCTTATACTTCTAAAATGAGGGATTTGAGTAAACTACAGGTCATGTCAATTCAAACTGCTGGGAATGACACAAGTAGGAAGGAGGGAATGGTGGATCCCACCCCAAGTATGTGTCAATGCAAGCAAATTAGATGGTTTCTACCTGTGTCTTTGATACTGACTTGCTGAGCTTTGTCTCCCTTCTGTGGGAGGGAAAGGAGTGCGTTGTATCCCTGCACTGGGCTTTTAAATATTGCTGACTATCAAACTCAACTGTTTCACATGTTGATAAGTTTCTGGCCTTTCCCACTTCTCACTTGCTTCATGCTTTTTCCCATTGGTCACATCTTTTGAGTAACATCATCTTTTGATGTTTTTCAGATTGCCTGGGATTCACAAGAACCCAATTTTATTAAGATACCACCACTGAGTTCTGCAAGAAACAAACACAGCCAAAAAGCCTTCCATTCTGGTAAAATAACCTACCCCTTCCATAAAAGAGGTGGGAAGAGATGCACACTTTTAAATCCTGATTGTTGTCTCCTTTCAGATATGGGAAACAATTTCATGCTACCAAACTGGGTATTTAGCTACTAAATGCTTATTTTTTGAACAAACAAGCTTCCACAGCTCTGAAGTTCGGGGGAAGAGGGCTTAGGGAGAAGCAACACTCTTTTCTAGGAGCACAGGGCAGATCAAGGGCCTGTGTGCAGTGAACTCTGCCTGATTCAACACAGCCTGCAAGATTAAATTTTGTTCACCCTAAGCATTTAATGACTGCAGATGTTCAGGAGATACTCTGTGAAGCATCACCTACTGCAGCCCTTTGGACAGATGCTGTTTACTTTGACACTCCATCTGTCACTTCAAAATAATCACTGAAGCTTTAACTAACATAACCCTGCAGGGCTGGCATCAAGGCATGGCATGTCAGAGGTTAAAAACAGGGTCAAGGTCATTGCATGCCGTGCATGCTAGAACATCAGGGAACAGCAATTGCCACTTCTTGTTCTCCATGATTTTCAGCAGAGAGCACTGTATGTATCACACAGGCTTTTGCTTTGGTTTCTGGAAGATCTTCCAATACCAATGATATGGGCCCCACCGCATGTCAGATCCTTAGATTCAGGGTATATTTTGGAGATGAGCATGGTTATGGCAGCAAATAATTTGTGTGACTTCAGCCAAATGCAAAACTTGGCTGTTCTATACCAACAGAGATGTATTGGGATGGATATGGGACACCACTGGGATCTACCAAAAGTCAGCATAGTTATTAATTGGTCTCAGAGAAGAATCCTACACCTCATAAGCAAGCAATTTATGTGTTAGTCGCCATGCTTCCTAGCATGATGGTAGGGGATGTCATAATTATGAGTGACTTGTTATAGGTAGTGCCATCTTTTCCACTCCTCATTTTCTTCTAAGACCTGGGCCCTATCTAAGTAGATTATAACCGTTGATTTAAACATTCAGTCATGCAGATCATTCTACAAGGCTCAGTAATAGCATCTAGTACAAATTAGTGCTCATAAATGACTAATTCTATTTCCTCTTGTTTATTACCCAGGCTTTTGACACTGGTGTATAGTTAATTAAAGAATTTCTTCTTCCCATTCTCCCTTTGTATTTAATGTCTTACTTGCCATAGTGTCTAATGGAAGTACATCTACAGCAGGGTTTACTATGCCACTGTTTGTAGATGATGGTTGGGTGCTCTACTTACCTCCCTAAGGTCCTTCTAAGTGAGAGCTGAGTGCAAGAAGCTGTTACCACCTTTGCTCGCATCAAAACTGAGAGCTGAGGGAGGGAGGTCAAGGGCTCCCTTTATGGCTTTTCTTTTGTCTTACAAGATACAGTCTTGTCTCTGTTTCTTCTCTGTCTTCCTCAATTGGCAGATAATCATACTTTGTCATTTTTACCCCTATTGAAAGAGCTGTCTGACTTCAAGGGATGTGCTTTGCATCAGGAGGTCAATTAGGCTTGCTCACTGTCCCTTCTGGAGCTTCTTTTTTCTTATATCCAAACTTATGCTTTCACGTCAGATTTCTGTTAGTGCTTGTCCTCTATATAGATTTTGTTAGCTGCTTCATCTGAAGGAGATTATTTTTTCCTATTAAGTGATAGATGCTGCAGCTCCTCATCCCAGGATTTAAATAGACCAGCATTTTTTTCCCCCATTTTACCAGCACTAAATTCACATAATGTAACAGCAAACCAAGCCCATACCCTGTCAAACAGAGACACTCTCTCAGTGTGGTGACCCTCTTTCTCTCACCTGCCACATTTTTCATGCTCAACCTACAGCTGTGAAACTGTTTTCTCCCCACTTCTCTTCGAACAACAAAGTCCAAGGAACATTCCTCAGTTTGATGCCTGTCTGAATTTGCAGAACATCCTTAGACAGAAATGGCACTGATAACAGCGATGGAAGTGTCTTCACGAAAGCAGCAGCTTTTCATTGCCAGCTCCTCCAGTGGGGCTGAGCTAATAACAGCCATGCTGCAAACTTGATTTAATTTGTGTGCGCCAGTTCTAGAGCTTTCCTATTGACTTGAGGAGCACTGGAATGGGCTGCATGGTAGCTACGGCTTGGCTTTATGACTCAGTATCTCTGTCTTGGAATGGTCTCTGCCAGATCACTCAGATTTTCCACTCAGACGTTCTCTGAGGAGACATGAGTGTTCAGCTTTAGCTGCCTGTGAGCAGAAATGGCTCATTTTTCACTTGTGTCTTTTCCCCCAACGACTTTCTCCACCATGAGAAACTTCTGGGTTTCGGGTGGGACAATTCTGTGAGTGTCTTACAGATTGCTGAGAATGCCTGTTTGAACCTTTACTAGCTGACCCTGCTTACTGTCTTCGAATGTTCCCTTTGTCCTTTCAATACATGTCCATGTTGTTACCTGAAATGAGAGCAGGCTGATTTTTAAGGAAAAAAATATGCAGGCCATATTTACAGTTAATCTTCTGCAGTTGCTATTGTGTGACTGATTGGCCTGTGACTAAATAACTACAGTAGTAAAACAATTTTAGCCTAACAACATAAAAATCAAAGCTGAAGCTATGTCTCTGTAAAGCAGTGTTTGTTACGAGGTGGGCGTATACCCCAGTATGGAAAAGGAGACTGTTTGCATTACCAAGCTGTAGTATATACCTCCCGCTTCCAATAGAACTGATTTCCAAAGGTTGGGTTTTTTGGCTCCTTTTTTTGTTGTTAGTTTTTTTTTCCCAAGGGAGCGCCAGGCCTGAGTGTTGTAGTCTGATTTGCATTTATTTTGTTGCTTGAGGTAATGAAGGGTGTGAAGTTAATCTGCCCATGTTACATACCTCCTGCCACTCTGACTTGGTTCCTTATTTGCTTTGGGATTTTAGTTGGTGATCCATCCATCTTGCACTTGAGACAGTCCAGCCCCAAGAAGGAAGAGGATTAATTTCTCTTTATACAAATCAGTGTGTTGGTTACAATTGCTTTCTGGTTGCTTGCTGTAACAGGCAGGGAGATATGCAGAGGACTTCAGCAACCAGAGAAAATGTGCGTGAAAGCAGTGGCTGGAGATAGACAAATGCATAGAGGAGTTGTAGAAGAAGGTAACTGCACCTAGAAATCAATGAATCATCTGATACCCATCTGACTATTGTGCCCCCCTAATGATAGTGAAATATAGAAGATTTCTTGATCTGAGCAAATATATAAGGTAGTGGTATAAACAGATGTGTGTTCAGGAGCTCCCTGCTAGGCATCCCATGGAATGTAGTGGCATGATGTCTGTGATGGAGTCATGTCTGAATAGAGGGAAGTGTAGATGGTCACAGAGCACACCATGGCACACTGTACTGAGGTCAGGACATGAGTGGAAAGGACTTCTCATGTACCTCAGCACTCAGAAGAAAAACCAAGTAAACAAACAGTGCTGAGCAGTTTGCTGCTGTCTGCTGCTCTTGTTGGTTTTATTTCTCTCTGTTCTAGGAATTCTGTAGTAGTGCAATGAGGAATAATCTATTAATGCTTAGAAAGCAATTATAGTGGTTCCCAGTTTACACATGAATAAACAGAATGGAGCTTAGGTGACTGAGTCACAATCATTTTCTTAGTCTGATAGGGCATGGGCAGCAATAAAGAGCCGGCTCAGCACTTGTGCTCTAATTGCTATTTTGCCAGAAAAGTTGGAGCTGGAGATCAAACAGGCAAAAATGAGCTATAAAGCTCTCTGAATGTAAATTGCTGTACACCCGGTAGTGATTTCACACTACATAGCTAAGTCTTGCTTTTGAGGTCTCACAGGATGACCACAGGTCATACCAAGGACAGGATCCAGGCTTTGTGACTCCAGTGCTGTACTTAAGCACAAACCATCCTTCCTCCCTCTATGAACTTGGCATTTTATTATAGAGTACCTTATCATATAAGTCCGTATATGATACTTTCGCATGTATTCAACCCTGAAACACGGTTAATGTAGAAATACCCATCACTGATGATGCATAATGCAAATCATAATGTCTTGCTTTTATGGAAAAATTGAGAGTTCCAGTTCAGACATGTGGTCTGGTACTCGGATTGCTCATTGATGTTACAGTTTTATATGTCCACAGTGTTCAAGACCAGGTTGGATGAGGCTTGGAGCAAGCTGCTCTAGTGGAAGGTGTCCCTGCCCGTGGCAGGGGTTGGAACTGGATGAGCTTTAAGGTCCCTTCCAGCCCAGATCATTCTGTGATTCAATGATTCTATGATGTGTTATGAGGATCACTCTTTTCTCCTCCAGGGGTGAAGTTGTTTCTATGATGTAAAACCAGGTCAGGATGAAGTTCTCCCTTCATGTCTGGGGACATATTTTTGTTATTTGAAAGCCCACAGAGCCCATATAACTGCAGAAGCACAAGCGCAAGCCTTGCTATCCTGCTTCATACACTATCAGCCAAACAAGCGAGCCAGCTTTTTGAGTCCTCCAGGGTCATTTTATTTTTAGGGCTGGTGCCTGATGCAGGAAGAAAACAGCTTGATCTGTAGGTTCTGCTTTGAGTTTCCAGTGCTGGCAGCGAAAAGCAACTGCTTTTGACGTGAGGCTGAGTTCAACTGAAGGAAAAAGCTGTGCAGGCCAGTGAATTGCCATATTTTGAGCATTGCTGTTCCAAAGCACAGCACAGTTCCTTGCCTATCACCGAGCTGATTTACTTTTGATCTCTTCGGGCTCCACTTGACATTCCAGCTGTTTTTCTGTCTCTTCAGGTTTTTCCCTGTTTGTCTGAAATCCATCTTGGGGACACTTGTTGCCCCATTCTCTGATCTGTTTTGAGCCTCTGCCAGGCACTGTTGCTGCCAGGGGATGAAATGCCTGAGTCGCCACTTTGTGAATGTTGCATTTGCTGGTGGGGTGGCAGAGCCAAGGCCATCATGAGCAAATCAAGCAACCACAACAAAGGCCCAAAACACAAACACAGGGACTTAACCTCAAAGCATATGCTGGAGCCCACTGAGGTGACAGACAGCAAAATGCATACTGAAGGACCTCAAAGCATTACTTAACTTCAGTCCTGCTCTAACCACATCAGAGGCATATACCTCACACAGCTCTGGATCAGGGGAGAGGGTGGAAGGGAAAGGTAGCAGTGACCAAAGGACTTTTTCCTTCCTTCCAGAATGAATTTATCAGAGCAGGAGATGAAAAAAAGAGAAAGGAAAA